ACTCCCTGGGAGGACGGAGCGGGCGGGGTCGGGGAGGGGAGGGGGAAGAAGGGGAGAGAGGAAAAGAGAAGGGGAAGGCCCCAGATGATTGGAGGTCCCCGGAAGAGACCTTCGCACTAGCTTGGATCTCTCCGAGCTCCGACGAGGGGGATCCACCAACGCCTCCACCTCCTCCCCCTCCTTCTCCTCCTCTTCCTTCTCCTCCTCCCCATCCTCCTCCTCCTGATCCTCCCTCTCTCTCCCTCTCTCCGTGTCTCTCTGTGTGTCTCTCTCTCTCTCTCTCTCTCTCTCTCTCTCTGGTCCCCCTCCGACTCTACTAAGAGCTCGTTGGGATCCGAGCGGGCCATCGGATCCACTGGGACGCAGAGGAATCCGAGCGAAGTCTTTGGGTTTTTTAGAAGGCCACTCGCTCGACCCATTAAAGGAGGAATCCTGCTGCATCTCTACGTCATGTTTTCCCGCGCCATGTGCATGCGGAACATGCTGATCATGCGGCCGCCCCCGCGGGAGTTCTTGGAGAGCGGGCCGCCGGCGTCCCTGCGGAAGGCGCCCAGGAAGTTCGGCAAGAGAGCGAAGAACTCCAGGGCAGAGGCGGAGCAGCTCCCGGCACAGCTGGGTTTCGTGCTGCCTCCCGCGTGAGCGCGGCCGCGACTAGCTCGGTGCCTGCGAGGTTGTCCCAACGGCTTGCTCCCGCGCCCCAGCAGCTCGCGGGTTTGTCCTAACGGCCTGGCCCATGGGATTGCCCCAACGGCTGCGCGACGTGGCCATTCGAGAACGCGCCCGCGCTGACCAAGGCGGCGACGGCGCCGAGGAAAATCGACGCGCGCGTTCTGGCAATAGACAGAGGAGGAGGTGGCGGGTGAGAAAAAAACAAGAGGGCAAGGAGGGGGCAACGCAAGGAACGGGAGGAGGACCTGCGCCAGGGCGAGAAGGATAATCATGCAGAAGTGACCGTAAGGACGCCTCGCCAATCGCGAGGACGACGATGAGGGGCATTTCCAGATTAGCCGAGAGGATTTCCATATGGGGTCCCACCGTCGGAAGAATGAAGAGACAGCGCCCCGCGCTCCTCCTCTCCTCTCCTTCCTCTCCTCGCCTCGCCTCGCCTCTCCTCTCCTCCTCATCCTCCTCATTGTCCTCCTCCTCCTTCTCCTCCTCCTCCTCCTCCTCTTCCTCCTCCCCCATCCTCCCATCATCACCATCATCATCGTCATCATCGTCATCATCATCATCATCATCATCATCATCATCACAAACATGCCCCATAGAAAGTTCCACCGAAGGTCTCAGTGGCGCAGCCCGCATGCGTCTCTCACACCCAATACAGCGCTCCGTGGCCCCCCAGGGATCTCGTCCTATGGTCCAAGTGGCGCAGCCCGCATGCGTCTCCCCCACCCAATACAGCGCTCCGTGGCCCCACAGGGAGCTCCACCGAGGGTCCCAGTGGCGCAGTTCGCATGCGTCTCCCCCGCCCGGTTCAGCGCTGCGTGGCCCTATAAGGGGGCTCCACCGAAGATGATACCTACATCTACGGCATTGGCAAGTGCATATTGTTGAGTTTTTCGCCAGACTAGTTCGCATTTGCGTTTCCTATCCGGAAGTTCCGGGTCCTTCCAAAATGGAGCCCCCGCTGCAGCGTTGGCCTCATTTTACAAGTCTCCCCTTCCTCCCATGTCTCCTCCAGCTTATTCGTCAACCCCTCCACGCTGTATACATAGCTCCCAAGTTTCCGATTGCGCGCAACACGATGGGGTCCTTTGGTTGTTCCAGGTCTGCGATCACACCCTTTGGTTGATAGAGAAGCATCAGCTCACCAGGAAGGGATGGGAGGAAGGGTAGGAGCGGCCTAGGTTTATACGACTACTATTTTCCCACCTCCCCCACAGACGTTTGGATGTCAGATATGGCGCGACCTAGCTTTATACGACTACTACTCACCTATCTCCCCCACAGACACCCCGAGAGTCGCGCGCGACCGCCTCCCATCCGCGCATTGCCCCCGCATGCGTTCGGACCGAGGTATAAGATCGAGGTCGGCTTGGGGGGGTGCTCTAGTGATCCTCCTGTTTCTTGGGTGTTCTTGAGGATTCTGGGGGAGGGCACCCTCGAATGTTCTTCAGTTTGGCCTGCAGAGGGTCTCATGTTCTCGAGGGATATTCTTCTTTCCCAGGTCCGGCCGTAGCCCTTGGAGAGCTAGGACGGTTTCAATTTAGAAGCTGGCCAGCAAGGGTAGCCCCGGAGATCTCTCCAGCTTCTGTTCGGAATCCCTGCAGCGACCCTTCCGAGTTTGCAGCGTGTCACGGACGCCCTTGTCTGCTTGCTTCCCAATGCGCGTGCCGCAAGGGTTCCCAGGAGCTCTTCCGCAGAGCTTCCAGAGCTTCTTCGCAGGTCCTCCGCGAACCTTCTGCAGCCCTGCCATCCAGGCTTTGGACTGACAGGTTTTTGTTCCCAACCATCTTGTGGGGTTGGGTCCTCGGTTTGAAGGGAGTCCCCGCATCTCCTTTCTTCCTTTGTCCTCCCCCTCCTCCCATGCGGTTCCCCGCCTACCGCATGTCCATGTCGGCACATCCCTCACACGCTTCATGGACCCATAGGGAGCCCCACCGAAGGTCCCAGTGGCAACCCACATGCGGTTCCCCGCTTATGTCGGCACACCCCTCACACTTGGCGGCCCCACAGGGAGCTCCACCGAAATCCCCAGTGCTAAAATCCACAAGCGGTTCCCCGCCCATGTCGGCACACCCCTCACACGTTTCGCGGCTCCATGATTAGGGAGCTCCACCGAAGGCCCCAGCGGCAAAGTTACCATGCGGTTCCCCGCACATGTCGGCACACCCCTCACACGCTTCGCGGCCCCATAGGGAGCTCCACCGAAGATCCCAGTGGCAAAGTCCGCATTCGGTTCCCCATCCATGTTGGCATACGCCTCACACGGTTCGCGGCCCCATAGAGAGCTCCACCGAAGGTCCCAGGGGCAAACTTCGCATGCGGTTTCCCGCTCATTTCGGCACATCCTTCCGACGCTTCGTGTTCGCATTGGGAGCTCCACTGAAGGCCCCAGCGGCACGGTTCACATGCGATTCCCCTCCGATTCGGGCACACCCATCACACGTTTCGTGGCCCTATTATTAGGGAGCTCCACCGCAAGCGATGCCCACAACGCGGCACTCACAACTAAATATGGTTGGGTCTTTCGCCAGGATATGTTTGGGACTGGTGGCCCCGCGCAGCAAGCAATATACGGGCACCCCCGCAGTCCCTTCACAAAACAGTGCAAAGTGCTCGCGCCTCCCGGAACATACCGTTGAAGGAAACAATTGTGCATCAAGAGTTGGGTGACCCTTTCGAATACCCCCCCGCACCCTTCCGGCCTTCATATTGAGCAGTTGATCCCGGATATGAGCGGCCGGAAACAAATTGAACCCAAGATCTCAATCGCAATGCATTCCAATATCAAGGCCAGGGGGGCAGGGGGGTCCTCTCCTGTACTGTTTCTCCCAGCCATCCCGTGGTGTGCGGGGTCCTCTTTTCGGAGAGTGGGCGCCGTCACCTCACCTCCTACCTCCCTCCTCCGCCCCCTCACTTCTTCCTGCCACCCTAGAGTAAGGGTGGCCCACCTCTTAGAACACGGACACTCGTTCCAAGTCAGCGTCGTACCCACCTCCGCCCCTGCCCTCCGCATGCGCCACACCCTCACACGCTTGGTGGCCCCATGGGGAGCTCCAGCTGAGGCCCCACGGGGGGGAGGGGAGGGCCGCATGCGGCCCCCCCAGCCACTTCGGCACACCCCTCGCACGCTTCGTGGCCCCAAGGCTTGGGGGGGCCCCAACCAAGGGCACCGCGTGCGGCCCCCTGGCCCCTGTCGGCGCACTTCTCACGCGCCTCGTGGCCCCACAGGGAGCCCCCAGTGGCACAGCTCGCATGCGTGCCGCACCCAGGCCCATTTCGGCACACCCCTCACACGCTTCGTGGCCCCATACGGAGCTCCACCAAAGGCCCCAGTGGCAGCGCCCGCATGCACCTCAGGCCCGTTACGGCACCCCTCACGCGTTTCGTCAGAGGGAGTTCCACCGAAGGCCCCAAGGACAGCACACGCATGCGCCCCCACGGGCACTTCCCGCGCACCCCTCACAGAGGCCCCAGTGGCACGGCCCGCATGCGTCCCCACGCCCATTTCCCGAACATTTTCCTTGGGTGGAGGGCAAAGGGTGAAATCTGAAATGCCGTTTCGATGGATTTTGGAGGCTTGAATCTGCAAAAGCCGAATCACAAGACGGATTGATTTTCGAGGTGCGAGAGCCCGTCTGGATTTCACTCTGAGTCCTCCACCCGAAGAACATGTTCAGATTTCTCATCCCCCCCCATGCGTCTCGTGGCCCCACGTGGACAAGGCGGCGACGGGTCGGCGACGGCGGCCACATAGCCGCCGGACCGACCCGCAGGCCCAGGTGTGGGCGGCGACGGGGCGGCGACGGCGGCCACACGGCCGCTCGAACGGCACACCGCCCCAGTTCGCTGGAAAGCAATTGAGAAACTCGAAGTGCAAGCATTCCGTCGGGCCTGTCCCTCTACAGGAAGAAGATTCAGAAAATAAGAAATAGTCTGGGGACGATTTTTCGACTATGTTTAGTCATTTTTAACATATGTTATGACTATTTTTATTGTTTCGTCCAGAATCCGCCTGTAGGGGGATACGCCCGACCTAATGCAAGCATTGCTAGGCTAGGGGAAGAAGGAACAGTTTTCACCCCCTCCCCGAAAGAGGAGGAGGGGGATGGAAGAGAAACCGCCTTAAACCACCTACGCCCTAAAGGGCTGGCGTGATTACATCCCAGCTACTGCCCGCACGCCATTTTACGCAGGGTATTTCATTGCGTCACCTCCCTCTTTTGGAAGCTTCCCCTCATGATCATGTTATCGACTATGGTACTCGTTATTGCTCGCTCGATCCTCCATCGACCTGTTGGGCGCATGCTCGACGCCCTCGCGGGCTACTTTGCTTGCCTGTTTATTCCGTTCGCCTCACTTCTCACTTGTTGTGCCCTTGTCGTATCGCCAAAGTCGGTCTCGCAATGTTGACGCATTGACGCTACAGCTCTGTTGCTTCAGTCCGTACAACGTGCAAAAGGAAGAGGGGGAGGAGGAGGAGGAGGAGGAGGAGGAGGAGGAGGAGGAGGAGGAGCAGCAGGAGGAAGGAGCATCTGGATGTTACCCTCACCGTCGAGTTCCGTGGAAGAGGAGGAGAAGCTGGAGAAAGAAGAAGAGGAGGGGCGCCGCGCCAGGAGACCCTCGGCAGCCCGTTCCGGGCGAGCCTGCCCCGCCGCGTCTCTGCTCCGTGCTGCTGCGTTCCGATATGACTTGCTGCTTTCTTCTGTCGCTCTCTCTCTCTCTCTCTCTGTCTCACACACCTGCGTATGTATTTACATGCATGTACATATACATATATATATAGATATAGGTATGGATGTCCCAAACATTGCTTGCACTTGCAGGTTCTTACATGTTGCTCTAGGGAGGAGCCGGGCTCCAGTGCCGCGTTCGCCGCCCTGTTGTTTCCGTCACCGCCCCGTCGCCGCCTCGTCGCCGCGCCGTCGCAGCCGCCCCGGTGCACCCCGCCCGTTGCAACTGGATTGCTTTGCACTGCTTTGCATGGCTGTCGCCCTGCTTTGCGCTGCTTTGCATCGCGCTGCATTGCATCGCATTGCTTTGCATTTCATTGCAGTCGCATCGCAATGCCACTGCGTTGCATTGCCTTGTGTTGTTGCGCACTGCTTCGTGTTGCCCTGTGTTGCTGTATACGCTGCTCCGCACTGCTTTTTGTATTGGTTTCGCATCGCTTTCGCATTGCTTTGCTTTTCTTTGAATTGCTTTGCACCGCGTTGCATTGCATTGCTTTGCGTTGCTTTGCATTGCATCGCTTTCAGCCACACATATTGCACCACATACGTAGACTGCACCACGTAGATTCTCCTTTCTACAAGATTAATAGATTCTACCCCCCTCCCCCCCCCCGGACTTATCGGCTCCCCTTGGGATAATATGATCTCATATATACATGCGTGTGTTCTGCACACTCGTCCATCCTAAATCTGAAATCATACCATCCCAGCCAAACCGGGTTCCCCCCCCCTGAGGTTCCCTTGTTAAAAAACACTATGCGGTGACACTTTTTGTTCTAACATAACACTGTTTCACTAATCCCTTGCAAAAAATGAGACGAAGTGCACACGCGCGCGTCGTCGCGCGCATGCCGAAATCCTTCAAAAACCTTCGGTGCGGGAGGGATTTCGCAATCGAGTTTCCAAACAACATACAAAAAACACAGGGTTTCGCAACACAGAGTTGCTAAAAGAGCTTCCGCGAAAGCTCTTGCGAAATCTTCAGAAAACCAGAGATTTTTCAAGATTTTCACAAAATGCTACCAAACGGGCTTCGCGCGCGCTCATGTCGAAATCTGTTGGACGCCCTTGCGCGTGTGCCGTCGCGAGAATCCCCTGCAAAAAACGGGACGAAGTGCAGGCGCGCGCGTCGTCGCGCGCGTATGCCAAAAACCTTCAAAACCCATCGGTTCCGGAAGGATTTCAAAATCGTGTGTCCAAAAAACCCACAAAAACACAACACAAGGTTTCGCAACACGGATTTTCAACCAAAGCGTGCGCGCGCGCTCTTGCGTCGTCGTCGTCGTCGTCGTCGCCATCCTCCCTCCTCCCGCATCGTTGTCGTCGTCGTCGTCGCCTACGTCGTCCTCTGTCTTTCCTCGTGTTCGTCGTCGTCGTCCTCTTTGGCGTCGTGGTCGTTTCCGTCGTCGTTGTCGCCGTGGTCGTCCTTCCTCCTCCTCCCTCGTCGTCGTCGTCGTCCGTCGTCGGCGTCTCGTCGTCGTCCCTCCTATTTCGTCGTCGTCGTCGTCGTCGTCGTCGTCGTTGTCGTCGTCGTCGTCTTCCCTCCTCCCTCGTCGTTGCCGTCGTCGGCGTCGCCGTCCTTCCTCCTTCTTCGTCGTTCGCGTCGTCGCCGTCCTCCCTCCTCCCTCGTCGTTGTCGTCGTTGTCGCCGTCGTCGTCCTCCCTCCTTCCTCGTTGTCTTCGTTGGCGACGTCGTCGTCGTCGTCGTCGTCGGCGTCGGCGTCGGCGTCGTTGTCGTCTTCGTCGTCGTCGACGTCGGCGTCGTCGTCGTCGCCGCCGTCGTCGTCGTCGTCGTCGTCGTCGTCGTCGTCGTCGTTGACGTCGTCGTCGTCGTCGTGTCGTCGTTATCGTCGTCGTCGGCGTCGTCATCGTCGTCGTCGTTGTCATCGTCGTCGTCGTCGGCGTCGGTGTCGTCGTCGTCGTCGGTGTCGTCGTCGTCGTCGTCGTTGTCGGCGTCGTCGAAGTCGTTGGAGACGTCGTCGGTGTCGTCATGGGCTTCATCGGGCCACCCTGCCTCCAACCGCGGTCTCCCTGAACGACCGGGTCAGGATTTGGCCATGGGGCTCTCTTAGGGCCATTTTGGACTCCTGTTGTGCCGTTTTGGGGCTCTCTTGGAATGCCTGGAAGCCCTTTCGGATGGTTAGGGGGCGATTTTGGAGCCTCCCAGGCGGCTTCGGACGCCCAGAAGACCGCCATCTTGGAGTGTCGGGAAGCCGAAAAGAGGAGACCCAAAATTCACCAAAAAACTATAGAAAATCAATGATTTTTGCCTCTTGGGGCCTTCTTGGGAGTGCTCTTGGAGGCCTCTTGGGACGTTTTGGAGCGATCTTTGGGGGTATGACAGCTTCTTGGGGGTCGTCGTGGACCGTATTGGGGCTCGCTGGGGTCGTTTCGAGAGCGCGCCGAAACGCCTGGAACCTGTCTGGGGCCGTCTTCTGGCATTCGTGAGGCTCTCCCGGGTTGTTTGAGAGGGTTGCCCAGAGGCCCAGTGAGGGCCAAATTGGTTAGGGGGTGGGGGGCTTTTTCCGGCGTCCCCAGCCCTATCAAAATATACGAAAAGGAATATGAGCATACCTCTCTCTCTCTCTCTCTCGTGCCCCCCTCCTCGATATCCGGTCTCTGCCAGAAAATCATGAATTTTCGATCCCGCCCTTCTGCGCACATCCGAGCTGGGGTCGATCGTGAGGGCCCTGAGGCCCGAGACGAGGCAAGCATGCACGTGCAGGGTCTCTTTCTCTCTCTCTCTCTCTCTCTCTATCTCTCCCCCCCTCTCTCCCTCTCCCTCTCCCTCCCTCACTCTTTCCCTCTCCCTCTTTCTCCCTTTCCCTCCCTCTCGCTTCCTCTCTCTCCCTCTCCCTCGTCGCCGCCGCTGCCGCCCGCGTCGTCAGGCGCTGTCCGCGATGATTTACCTGGACGCCGCCGAGCCCCACGTCGAGGTCAGACTGACGAGCGCGCGCGCCCGCGAGAGGGCCCTGGGCTCTCCCGATGTGCCCGCTGGGACGGCGCGGCCTCCCAGCAGTCGCCCACATTTTTCCATTTTTTTCTCCAGGCTGCTGTGCCTCTTTCCCCCCTCCCTTGCATTCTCCACTCCCCTCCTCCATCCCTCCTCCCCCCAAGAGGCCAACAACAAAAGCAGCCCCTGAGTGTCCGACGTGCAGGGGAGGGCACGTCCAGAACGGAGCCCTGACCTCGATTTGGGAGCGCGTGGACCTTACGGGCCTTCCCCCCCCACCTGTCCCGCGCGCATCCCTCTCTCCCTTCCCCATCGCTCCTACCTGTCCCTCCCCCTCTCCTCTCCGCTTTCCTTGCCGCCAGACGTTCCTCTATCTCACGCCCCCCCCCCCCAAAGTCCCTCGGCTGGCCCGCTTGGGGATCTCTCCTACGGTCGGGCCGAGGTATAAGATCGAGGTCGGTTCGGGAAGGGTATGCAATGTTCTTCGTGTTTGTTGGGTGTTTTTCGTGTTGTTGGATGTTTGTTGGATGCTCTTCGTGCTTGTTGCATGTTTGCTGTATTTCTCCTGCTTCCCTCTTCTCGCGCTCCTCCACACCTTTCGCGCCCCCGTCCCCCTCCGCACGCTCCCTTCCCTCCCTCTCGCGCTCCCGGCTCCCCCCCCCCCCCCTCCTGCTCACGCGCTTCCCCCACCCCTCCCTCTGGCGCTCACTCCCCTCTCTCCGTCATCTCGCCCCCTGCCCCGCCCAGGCTCGCAGGGGAAGGCACCCCACGCTTCCTGTCCTGCTCCCACTCCCTCGAGCATGCCTGCCCCCCCCAAACCCCCGCTCCGCCTTCCCGTCTGCCCCTCCTGCCCCTGCCCCCCCTTGCTTCTATTGTGCTTCGTCTCCCCCCCACCCGGGCCCGCTCTGGAGCGGGGGCCTCCTTCCAGCCTCGCGGCGATGGCCAGCGGCTCTCTGGCGGCCGGCGAGTCCCGGGGACTTCGGTGGCGGGCACGCGACAAATGGCGGCCGTCTGCGGTCATGCGTCGTCCGTCGCCCGCCGTCCACCGTCAGTCGCCGTCGGTCGACCTGGGTCGCCGTTGTCGTCGTCGTCATCTTCTTCGCGGCCGCTGTCGTCGTCGTCGCCGTCGTCGTCGTTGCCGTGGTCGTCGTCCTCCTCGTTCGACCTGGGTCGTCGTCGTCGGCGTCGGCGTCGTCGTCTTCGTCGATGCCATCGTCGCCGCCGTCGCCGCTGCCGTCATCGTCGTCGTCGTCGTCATAAGCCTCATCCTTCTCCTCTTCCTCCTCCTCCTCCTCCTCCTCCTGCTCTTTGTTATTGTTCTTCCTCTGTCACCCTTCATTCTTCCTGCTTCCTCCCGCATCCTCGTTTCCCCCTTTCCCTCCTGCCCCTCTGCCGCCTCATCCTCCCTCCTGTTCGTTCCCAGAGGATCGAGAACCTCCAATAATGAGGCTCGACTTTCAGGCTGGGTGCCTCTTTGCATCCTGAAAGTTCCTCCTGAATGGAGGCTCGACCTCCGAAATGGATGATTTCGATCTTCTGGGTCCTTCTCGAACTTCTCCGCCCCCCCTCCCCCTCCCCTTCCTCCCCCCTCCTCCATCTGTTCTCCGCGCGCGCGGAAGCGCGCAGCCGACGACGACGTCTGACGACGACTGAGGACCACCGACGACGACCGACGATGACTACTGACGACTACGAACGTCGACTGACGACCACCGCGACGACGGCTGACGACGACGACTGACGGCAATCACGACGGCGACGATGACGACGATTACGAC